GTGGGGTTGCTGAGATCTTGCCGCTGCGTTGTGAGTCAGCTTGGACACCACTTCCTCCTCTTCGAGCAAGGAGGGGAGACAGGGCAAAGGAATGTGGCCATGCACTTCTAACTGGAAGAAAACTGAAATGATTTCAGATAGTCATGCAGAAGTGAGTTGTGTTCTTATACAGGGCAGCTTAATTCTGATCGATGTGAGTTGTTCTTATGTTCATGTCTAATTGTCATATCTGCTCAGAGATGCACAGAATCCAACATACAGGTCAAGAGTGAAAGAATCTTTTGGAACCCCTGTGCCATAGAGTGATCCATCCATAGGTGGTTCTGCCTTCTGTTTGGTGGAGCTAGTTGTCGTAAGCAGCCCTAGTGAGTACAGTTTCCATTAGCTAACGTGTCAAATGGTTTGCCTTGATAAAGTGGTTTTCCTATAAAGTCCCAGGAGCGAGAATAACTTGAATAAGGAGAAATAAAAGTCCTCAATTTTGTATGTGCATAGTATCTCCCTGGAACGGAACATCCCAGGCTATTAACAGTGTGTGTGGAAGAGAACGATTAAAGTATGTTTGTGGTACAGTGGGGTTTGAAATCCTTTCCTTTAGAACTGATGTTTTCTCCAAGTAGTGGCTTTCAGTGTTCCACTGAACCTTGTCCCAGGTGATCTGGGGAGATACAGCCTGGATCATTTGTACCTGCAGTTGGATAGCACTGTATATAAGTGAATGATTCTGAGGCCTTACTTCATGTGCAGCAGATACCACACATCTTCCTCACTCTCCCTCCACTCCTCTGTTGGGCCTTGCCCTAGTTTTTGGAGACCTGGCACAAATGGCCTCGAAGTGAAAGAGTTTCCGTGCTCTCATTCCGGGGATGCCGTTTCCTTGGCTCAGATGTCTGGGAACACCCATTGCTCAATCTCTGTTTATGAGCATATAATAAGTGCTGCTTAAAACGCTAACTCTGCTTATTGAGCGCTGTGGTTGCTGGTACTTTTTGGATGGATCACATGGGTGTTTTCTGCTGGAATGTATGGGAGCTGCCTCTGGGAACTGAGATACGGGGCTGGTTTTAAACACAAGCTCTTCTTGTCACCAAACAGTTATGGAAATAAGGTACTGAATATAGACCAGGCCCAGTGTAAGAATAGGTTTGATTAATTACTGTGGGGGTCGAGTTCAAAACAGATGTCATCTCTTTCAGTTGAGCAACATTATGATTCAGGTTTACGTCATGTGGATTTAGGAGGAAAACTGGTTGTAGAAACTTGCCTTAAGGTATTGAAGTATTAGTTCACAGCTAGAAGGTAGAGATTGATTCCGTTCCAGTGTAAGGAAGAACAAGCTAGGGCAAGTATTTTTTATTTGCATGTTCAGACCCAGCCCAAACTTGTCAAAACTACATCAGATAAAATCAGTCCCTCAGAGAACAGCGAGAGTCTGTTCTCAAATGTGAGTGCCTTACAAGGCAGGGTGCGACAAGAGATGCATTTGTTCTCTGACTAAAGATCTTTCTCTGCAAAGCTTCTTGCAAAACCTCCCATTTTTTACTTTTGCCAGCTTGCTGCTGATGGCTGGTCTGTTCCTATAGCATTGTTGTGTGCTGATGGTATGAACCTCCCAGTTCCAGCTCAAGTGAGGGTGTGTTAGTTCTGTTCCTGGACTCTCTTCAAGTTTTTTGTTCCAACAAGCCGGATTCAATGTTGTTTTTAATTGATTTAGAAACAGGAGTGTTGCAAAAAGCTGTTCAGTGGTTGTTTTGTGAAAGATTATGCTGCAGTTGCTTTCCTTCAGCTTTCACTGGTGTTTTTCAGTTCTTTCTGACAAACAAGACTAAAGGACTTGAGTTGCTCATCTTTGTACTGGTTGTAATGCTGTCAGAGTACAAAGGTCTCATTGTTAGGCACTTCATTTTATTAAGAGTAAACATTAAGGATTTCATGACTCAGTAGTACATCATCCCCCTCTAACCAGCATGGTTAATAATGCCAATAGCAGGTAGCAGCTTATTACAGCTCTGTAGCCTATCTTTAAAGAGCTGGGTTGGATTTTTGCTCAAAAAAAGATTAATCTCAAATAAATTGACACATGACTGTGATATTCATTCTCTGTCTTTATTTTCTGATTCCCAGGGATCTTAATTTTCCCTTGAAGTAAAGTTGCTTTTGTTACTTATATCCAGGTTGCTTCAGAAGATGAAAGGTTTTCTTTCTGTATCGTGAGGAAAGGTGTGATTACAGCACTTAGACTACAAAAGCCATGTAATTGTGTTTCTGCGTTTTATTCTCGTAACACTTGCTATACCTGCTAAAAGTAAGGATTTCTCTGCTTTCTCTCTACAGGTACAGTATGTTTACAGGAGCTAAATCAAAAAATATACACCTGTTTTATAGTTTTAACCAGATTTCCATTATCAAGAAGCTGTTTCAAATTTCTTGCTGGTTTTCTGAGCTCTTGGTTTCAGACTGATCACTGGGTGGAGAGGAGTTTGCTTTGTCTGGGAAATGTGCCTTGGTGGCTCGTACTGTTTGCCTAGGAGAGCCCCAGCACCACGGGAAGAGAGACTGCTGCAGGATAAAAGAAGAATCTGAGGGTTGGCTCGGAGGATGTGGGAGCTGGACTGGGGGAGCCGGTGACAGCGTGGAAGAGAAAACTGAACCAGTGCAGTTTTGGTTCCAGGCTCAGTTACCCGTCAGTGGAATGTCAGTGGCCTTGGGGTGTTGCTGTCCTTTCTTTCCTACCTCTCATCAAGCCAACACATTTCACTGTTGGGTAGTGCTCTTCACAGCTTGGTCGTAGAGTTCCTGAGAAACAAGGTTTAATTTCAATGGGCAAAATAATACTTGCTCCAGGTGGCAAGCTGGGTGACTAGAAGGGAATGTAAGTGGCAGTGTCTGCCCTTTCAGTAGAGGAATTTGAGAGTAGAGTTTTGGGAATACATCAAGCTTCTTAAATACTGCCTCTGGCTTCTAACATTCAGAAAAAAAATCCTGCTTAGTTGAGAGACCCTTCCAGTAAGAGAGTAACAGCTCTGCCAAACTTCCCTGGCCAGAAACCAGAGCTGAAAAAAGGCAGTGCCTTGTAACAGGAGCGTATCACATCAGTGTTCGTTTCTGCAGTGTGCTTTGTCTGTCTCAGGGCTGGGGGTTTCCCTATTTTTCTTTCTGTATGTTAGCAAGATGTTGTTATGCAGGTTCTGGCAATGGAGCAATGACATAGAATCACAGCATGGTACGGGTTGGAAAGGACCTTAAGATGATCCAGTTCAACCCCTGCCACAGGTAGGGACACTTCCCACTAGACCAGGTTGTTCAAAGCCCTGTCCAGCCTGGATTATTGATGATGGATGATGTTGATTATCTTGTTTCAATGGCACTTACTTTTGGAGCTGTCATTTTAAGAGAGTCCTTGTTACCTAGTATCTGGCAGCCTTGTTACTAACTGGTGTTTGTAGCTTGTCTTGTGATTCTTACTACTGGGGAGCCACTACCAAACCATATGATATTAGAGGCATTTGTGGCCTCTGTCCAGGATTAAAGATTAAACAGCATTATGACTTTATACAATGTCTGCATGAGTATAAATAGTTTCAATGTATTCCATGAGTACTTGGGGAATCGAGCATCTGATTTAAATGCTACTACTTTTTCCTGCTTTTTGGCTTTGAGCTTGACCAGGATGTAATGTTTCTGCACAATTTTCCTGGTGGTGAGTTTTAAGCTTAGTTGATTCTGTCTCTAAGGTAGAGATTCTCCACTTCCTAAATTTAAGTATTTAAAATGCAGAAGAAATGCCTTTTTAAGGCATAAAGTACCTTTTTATTGTACAATGGAATTAAGACCTCTCACTGTTGCATTATTAACGGTGGCGTGACTTGGAAACTCTTAAATCTGCTTTCTTGCTTGGGATTAGCAGGTTCATTGGACTGTGTCACTTTCAGTGCTGAAGCCTTCCAGGAATCTGTGTAACATGTTGATGGAGCTGTAAATATACTTACAAGTCCATTTGTTCTGTTTCTTTTTTCTGCAGCATTGTTTCAAGATGTCTACTGTCCATGAAATTTTAAGCAAGCTCAGCCTTGAAGGAGATGTAAGTATTATTATCTAAGCAAGCAACAGTTTGGTTTACTTCACTGGCACATCTTGTGTCTTTTGCAAGAGACTTCACCAGCAGCGGTACTGAGCTGTACAGTTTACAAGATTCCACACACCTCTTCTACGTAAACTGGAGTTAACCAAAAACCTCATCAGCAGTGATCAGTTTTCAGTCACAAAGCAGCCGTAAACCATAGGACAGTTCTTCAAACCAGCCAACAGCACAGTGTTCAGGTGCTGGGCCGTATGAGAGAGATCACGGGACAGATTGAATGGCTAGTTCACATCTGTGGTCCCTCTTTCTTCCAAAGGAACAAGTGAGTTAAGTGCGGTAAGAGGAGATAGAAATGTATTTGGGTTTGATGACACCTTTTGAGTTTTCTTCCCTCTTCCATCCTGAAGCCCCTCCCCATTAAAAATGGAGAAATGGAGAACATTAGTTAGTGGCATCTTATTGCTGTAACACTTGTCAGCAAAACCAACTACCTCTTGAAAAACCTTATTTTCTCAAACCAGTTTTCTCAACTTTTGTTTTGAAAACTGTGAAGAATCTTGGTTTTGAGGGTGTACTTTCCACCACATCAGAACTTGCTTCATAGTTCTGTTGAAATACCAGAAAGCTCCACTCTGATTTCTTACATTGCAACATTAGATGGTAGGATTCCCAGTGTGGTGTCAGGATATCCCATCATAGATTCGTTACTCTGTGATTGTCACTGAGGACAAAGTGAATCCTATCCATGCATTACTTCATTATGTTGCTTATAAACTTGCTATACTTTTAAATTCTATGGCCAGGAACTCCAGATCTGAGGTCAGTATGAGCAAACTTTTTGCCTATTTTTGAACTTGTTGCGAAATAAATTATGCCATATGATGTTTGTGCAAGAGCTGTTGCAAAGAAGTGGCGAATGCGCTGTAGGTAAGTAGCAAAGCTGATTTTGTACTGCAAAAGCAGTCAGCTGTTCAGATTTCTTGGCCATGTTTATTTCAATGGAGAATTACTTTTGGAATAATAGTTGAGCAATCTTCTCAAGGGCAGAAATTTTTTCTTCCGTGGTGCTTGTGAGGAGTTGCAGAAGTCAAATTGGAATACTGCTCCATTGTCATCAGAAATCCTGCCATCCGATGTAAGAAATACTGGGGGGCTGGTTTGTTCTGTAGATCCTAAGTGAGAAGCCAGAATCACTTAGTAGGTATTCTGTACAAAGGATGTGCCCAGTTCCCCTGAGCAAGTTCAGTGATGTTAAACACAGTACTTCAACCACCCATTTACAGAATGGTCGCAGCTGAACCCAAGTCTTCTCTTGTACAATAAGGAATTCTTGTGTTCTGCATCAGTGGTGTAGTGATTGGTTTGCTTCAAGACAAAGAAACTGGAAAATGGAAAGTCAGTTGGAAAAGCTCTTGTCTGAAAACATGGAACCAGTGCTGTGTGTTTCCTCTGCCACAGGACAGAGGGAAAGCTGGGTCCCAGACTGCAAACATGCTGTGTGTTCTGTCAGAGTACGAGATCATCTTACAGTAAAAACACTCTGTCCAGATGGCTCAGAAAATACATGGAGCTTTGGATGCGTGTAAGGAGAGGTACCCAATTCTGCTTAGCTCAGTAGGTGACTTGCTTCAGCTAAGCCAGAGTGCTAGTTAATTAGATAATGTGTCCTATGACTGTATATACTAATGGGCTGTAGTTGAGGAGTTTTCCAGGCACACCGATTTCTCCTAGGCGACACTGCACATTTCCAGTTACTGTTGCTGTTAGCAATTTGATCTGCTAACAGGAAAGGCTGTGTTTTGTGGTGTGGCTGCGGGCCAAATTGGGACCATTTTTCTAGACTGAGCCCATGGTAAGAGACAAAAGAAGGAATGATTCAGTTTATTGGTGCTTTTTTGACTTCTCTCCACAGCATAAGACAGACTGTCTCAAGAAGACACAGTGGTTGCTGCTGGAGGAATCTCTTTGGGACAGTGGGACCTCTACAGCACGGAGTCAAACGTAGTCAAAAAACATGGAATTTTTTAGTTTACATTTTTTTGTCCTCCTTAGAACAATTTGCATGTAAAAGGATCCTCCAGGGATATTAAGATAGCTTAGTCCTGTTTATGAACCTGACTTTGTGTTGGAGTTAAAGGACTGAAACAAAAGCTTCCAGGTATCTTTAACAGGAAAGCTCAGTTGTTAATGCACTTAGGAAGCAGCTCTGGCAATTTCAGTGTTGGTCACTACGCCTTCCTGCCAGAGTTCAGGTCCCCAGAGAGAACCCAGCAGAGTGGGATTCACTAGTATTTCTCAGCTATTTCTATGAAAATCTGTGGTTTAGTTTAACCTGCCCATGGAAGGTGACACAAGCTAAACTGTTAGCTTACACTGAAGAAGAATTGAATCTCTATTCTGGGGCCCTCCTGTTTGAAGGTATACTCCTCAGGAGAGGACAATAATAAACAGCAGATAAAATCTGTTACCTTCTAAAATGTTGCATCTGTTTACTAAGTGAATTTACCTGTGAGTCCTCTGACTTTTAGCAGAGGTAATTTGAAATGTAATTTGGTTTTGTTAGCCTTATGCTGCTAAAACTAAGGATCTGCATGCACAGAGTTTCAAAAGGAGATTGTGAATAACTTTGGATTGCTAGAACTTTAGGCTTAAAAAGAACTTTTCTGGTGTTAAATTCTATGAGATGGGGCACAAAACTTGTTCTGGCTTACTCATTGTTCATTTTCCATCTCCCTCTACTATTTTGAAATTGTAGCCTGTAATCCTAAGTAAAGTATTGGCTTCAAATCTAAAATACTTCAGACTTAAACTATCTTTGAATTAGCTTTCTATGGTCAATTTCCTTCAGATCTAGCCAGAAAACTCCAGATCTTAGAAGTGTGAGGTTTAGTGAATAAACTTGGAATGTGTTAGGTTTTTGCTGCATATATCTATTAGTATATATTCTTTCTTATAAGCACGGCTGTGAGTGTACTTCTGGACAACACACATCAGCAGAACAGAGTTCGGTGGATCCTGGGAGAATTCCCTTTTGACATAACCCAGTGGTAGCTCTTGAACTTAAAAACGTGGCTAAATACCAGTTAACCAAGAGGCACATGGTTTATTACCTGCAGCGAGGACAGAATTACACGTCTTAACTTTGAGGTGGTTCTTCTTCTTCCAGCATTCTCTCCCACCAAGTGCCTATGCCACAGTTAAGGCCTACTCAAATTTTGATGCTGACCGGGATGCTGCAGCCTTGGAAACAGCCATCAAGACCAAAGGTGAGGAATGTGGGCTGTGGCTTTGATTCTGCTTGTAAAATAGAATGCTGGCTTGGGGAGGGGGGAAATTAAACTAGAAAAGGAGAAGGTACTAAGCCTCCTGGCCAACTTATATGTGTTTCAGTATTCTTACTGGAGGATACCTTTTTTAGGACGCGTTGGATTTTTCAGACCTCACAGATGAAATCTTGACCGAGTTAGATTTTGAGCTCTGTAAACGCATGCTTTAAACGTACTTTTGAAGTTTGTAGCCAAGAGTTGTTGAGGTTATTACTGAAAATGTCCACTTTCTTCTCGGGACTCATCAGTACTTCAAATTCTACTGCTTTTCTGCCACTGAGAATGAAGTGTCAGCTTCTGTGGCAGTGATTTGGGACCCAAGTTCTGAATAATGGATTTCTACTGGGTTATTGGATTGGGCATTTTTTCTTCCTTTCAGCTCTCCAGACAGCTGCACAGGGGTGGTTTGAACATTTTTCTCCTGGTTTTTGAACTAAATACTCATGTATCGTGTATTAATTTGGGTCAAAGAAAGTCCTAGAAACAACGCTATCTGGTTTCTGAAATGATTTTGCAGTATTTCAGAGGCAGGGCAGTGTGAGAGCCCTCTGCTTTTCTGAACCAGACTCTCAGGTAGGCTTCCATCTCTTGTATCAGCGCCAGGATTCATCACTTCCACTGGCTGGTAGGAAACCATGATGGAGCAGGGGACAGCTGCAGCTGCACATTAAAACTTGGAATACTGAAACAATTAGGAGTACATGGACTATGAACTACAACTCTGGAGTAATTCCTTGGTGGTATTCCCAGGGCAGTGATCCTCTGTCCTCGTCCTGCTCTGTAACAAAGAAAGGGTGTGCCACGCTTCCCAGACTTCCTCCAGGCCAGAGAAGCAAGGCTGGGTGTAGCTGGAACTGCAGAGTCTTTTGCCTACATGTCAGGAGAGGGAGAAATCTAAAAGCCAAATGGTTTCTCATCAGAAAGAAATGCAGTCTCCCATCAGTGCCAACAAAGCACATGATTGACTTGCTATGAAATGTAAAATATTGCCCCTCCCTAACTCGTCCTTTTGCATGATTTCTTAATTTAACTGGAAAAATCCCTTGTCTGCTTATCACAGTAGGTTCAGTTCTGGTTTTGAATCATCATATGGTTTGCTTTTATTGTCAAAAATGCTCTTGCAAGAGAGAGGTAAATGTCATCGTGTTTGGCAGAAGATGCTTTGTGTATATGTAGAGTTTTATCTAGGCTTAATTTTTTACAGGTCTGATTATAGAGTCAAATAGACTTTCAGACTTCCAGGGCAGGTACAAATTTACACATTTGAACACTCAAGTTGTTAATTAATGCAAAGGGAAATTGCAGTATCGTAGGCAGTAGAAAAGCTTTTCCAGTCAGGAAAGTCAAGGTCATGTTGGGTTTTTCCTTTCTTCCAGCAAAGAGAAGAGTTTGCTGAGTTTGGTTTTAAGAGACATGGAAACATTTTATTAGAGATGATTCCCAACTCTCTGAACAAGTAATAGGGAAACTTTTTCATGGACCTGCATGTCTATAAGATTGAGCTTATCTCTATTATTAGCTTGTTATCTGGGAGCTCTTTTGGGAAGGTGGCTTTAAAAGGGAGAATCTCTTTATGGTTTCAATACCGAATCTTCACTGTAAAGACTTTCTCAAAGGAAGTATTCCTGGGGGAAATAGAGAACCAGAGTGTTAGGATCCTTCTTCCAGGTGCTGTTTCCTTGGATTTCAAATGCTTCATTACAGGATATTTTGATCTAGAAATACAGAAAATCTATTAAAATGTGAATTCTCTAAAATACATGTGGGTTTTGAAAAGTTGCCATCTAACGAATTAATCCAGCTGTATCTCAGTAATGCAAACTCCCTGAGGCAGAGTCTCCGTTTTGGTGGTTGCATATGAAATGGGTGAAACTTTTTGCTGGCTAAACAACAGCTGTCTATTTGTTTCCGGGCAGAGATCTGGGCTATAGTGTCTGACTGTTCTGCTCTAGGTAATATCTAAATATTCTAGTATTCACTCACATTCTGCAGATTGATACCTCAGAGGTCAGGCATCTTTTATGTACTTTGGGATCTGTGGGAAATACTGTGATTCATTTACTGGGGCTTAGATCTATTTGCAAAAACTATACTGCACAAATACATTGCCCATACCTTTGTTGGGCTTTGTGTGGAGTTCAGTTAAATGCAGGGGGTTTGTATATATCCAACAGCCTAGAAAGGCTGTTCACACAGGTACGCAAAAGTGGCTCTACATGATACAAAATGGGTTTGTAGATAGCAATAGTTCAAACTAGAGCTTGTCTAATGCAAGTAACTTGTTGCAGTTCTGGCTTGTTCCTTTTGTAATAAATGTCATTGCTATGCCTGTTTCATTTTTATGCTGTTTAGTGTTTCTGTGGTGACTTCATCTAGTGCCTTAGTGTGTCCTTTATAAATGTTGGCTTTTTGCTGTATAGGACAAGAGGCTGTTTAATTTCTGTATAATGAATGCTCCACTGTGCCCTGTGTGTAGATTAGCTCAAGTACAGGAGCCTAAATAGAAGAAAATAACTAGAAGAGTACTAAGAGAGCATATGTTAGGTTTCCTTTTAATTCTTTGTAGGAAAGAAGACTGCTGAAGTGTCTCTTTCCCATTTCAGAGTTACTGCCTAGCATCGAGACTTTGTGTGTCTCAGATACTTCGTTAAATAATTCTATTGTCAGACTAGGTTATGAATAGTTCATCACTTGCAACCTAAACTACAACCTCTCATTGAGGTCTCATGGTGTACTGTTTTATTCCATGACTGGCACAATTCAAACACAGGTTTGTTGGAGGAAAGTGCTTTGAAATACATATGTAGTAAATTTGTTATGTCCAAAAATTGGTAAGACAATGTAAACCTAACGGAGGTCTCCTGTAAGATTGAATTCATTGCTTATATAGCGTATCCAACAAGCTTGTACCTTTTAACAGAGTTTTTAATGTTATGAAGTGAAAGTTCAGAGGAAATTGCTGGCATGCTGCTAGGGGAGGATCGCGCCTGAAACCCACCAAACTGCATCAGCCACATGTTCAGAGTATTAATAGTATCAGTAAAGAAATATCTCCTTGCAACATGGGTTGGATTTGGTGAAATCTCGCTGAGCGAAGCAGAGCTGAAACTGGTTTTATCTTTTTTATATTATCTAATTTTTTCCCTTTCACTCCATGGGGATCTGGGGTTTATTCAAGGAAAATAAGACACTGCAGATCATGAGCTCAGTCAGATAGTCGTAGGACTGTGTTAGTACCAGATCCACAATGATCTTGAGGTCTCACAAGGGCTAATCACATACATCTCCCACTAATAATCTAGGGTGAGCTACAATTCCATTTCATACGTACATATAGATAATTGATCTCTGGAGTACCTAGATGCTTTTAGGACAGAAACAGCTTCTGGTATTCTGTCTTTGAAAATGAAATGTAAGAGAAGAGAATTCTAGTAGATCAGCTGAATGAATGCATGCCAGCTCTTGCAAAATTAAAGTATGTTAGCTCTGCTTCCACCTCGAAAGTGAAGTGACTGTCCATAGCAGATGCTTTGTTCAGAACAATGCTGGTGCTGTTGTTTTGGCCCATGGAGATTAAAGTACAGTGTCTTTAAAACAGAACAATTGACAACTCCATCTGATCACTTTGGCCATGTTCATTTCCTCTTCTTTTGCTGACAGAGCCATAGCACTGGGATCTTACCAGAACAACAAACTGCCTCTTCTAGAAGAAGAGTTGTTATTAATTGGGGGTGTCTGTGTGTGTTAAGATCTACTTTCCCCCAGTATGTTTCCATCTGCAAGGAATTTTCCTGTATTAAAAAAATAAAATAAAATTGAGAGCCACAATGTCTGATTTCTCTTTGCTCATTGATAGAAATGCACTGATAAAATCTGCCCAGCCAGAATCAGTTTGGAAATGAACTTTTGTTTCATTACCCTGAAACTTCCAGAGGTTTTAGGGCACAGCAAAGAAAACTGTATGAGCTGCTGTTCTGCTCCACCCCACCTCAGCAGCTGTGAGTCAGCATCCTGTCCATGCAGGGATTCCCAAGTGTGAAGTGCAAGCACACGTTTTCCATTAAATGCCAGAGCAGTGAGTTAACTTCATATTTCCATCCACAAACCACATGAATAAGAAACTTGGACACAGTTATTTGTGGGCTTCTAACTTTTTAAAATTGTGATAAAACTTGAAAATGTGATTTGCCTTTTTTGAATGCCAAGAACAGTTTAAATTTAGAATTTCTTAAAAAGCTCAAGACATTGGCTTATGCTATGGCTGTGCAAGAGCTGAAAAGCCCAATGCGTGTGTGTGTGGCTGTTTGTGGACTGAGAGAATATGGTTTTGTTTATAAAATGGGAACATTTTAGAATGTTCAGGAGTAGGGTATGGCCAAAATGTGCAAACATTCTGTTTTCAACCCCAAATTTGTAACTAAGAAAGACATACGATGCCTTTTGACTTCTGCAGGCCAGAAGAATGCAAATGAAATGCAGCGTTTGAGGTCTGCCTCAGCATGAGCTAAGGACTTGAGGCTACCAAGGACAGTATTGCATTGTGAAAAATGTGAATAGGGTTTCAGAGAACATATTACTACAAAGAGCACAGTAACAAGAAAGCTTCTTTAACTCTTTGTCATACGTCTTTGTAGGTGTGGATGAGGTCACCATCATCAACATCCTGACAAACCGCAGCAATGAGCAGAGGCAGGATATTGCTTTTGCCTATCAGAGGAGAACCAAAAAGGTAACAAAATATGAAGAAATACCAAGTGTTGCATATTCTTCATGTGGAGAGTTAGATTTTTATCGGGGCTTGCATGTTTCACCATTAAGTAGGTGTAAACTGGAGATGAGTATTACTTGGTTTATCTTTTTGCTGAAATTAAGGGTGCATTTACTTTGTCCAGGCTGCCACAGTTTAGGACTCATGGGACTTCCGCATTTGTTGAGTATGCACAACTGGGACTGAAATCTGACTGAAATACCTACCGCTGCCAGAAACAGGGATGGGTGACATAGCCAGCCACAGGATTCCCTGGTGGAATATGTTAAGCAGCTGCAAAAAGCCATTGACATGAAATGCCTCAGTTTGAAGGAAAAGATGAAAGGGGGATGACTTGGGGGACCAAAGTTTTTGTTTGTTTGCGTTGTTGCTGTTAAGACAACTCAGCATAAGGAGGTATTCTGTTTCTGTTCACAGAGCTAGCTGCACTTAGTTGTACTGCAAACTCTGCAGATGTGCAACAAAGTGAGCTGAACCTCACTAGGTACTCTCCTGTCAGAAATACCTGGGGTACTGAGAGAGATGGAGAGAAATCTGTAAAACATGCAGAGTTCTGAATAATGAGTCTTGCTATCTGGAAGGCAAGAGCTGTTCTCTTGACTTTTGAAGTGTTGAGAATCTTACTATAATTGAAGTTTTATGCCCATGAAAAAGAGCAAATTTGTGTAGAGCTAGGATTGTGATGAATGTATCTCTTTCAGGTTTTCCAGACCCCAAATGGTAATCCTCCAATAGCAGCCCAGAGTGCTCATCTGGACCTAAATGTAAACCTAGAGTTAAATTTGGGAATCTCACCAACTTTTATGCATTGCTGAGAGAGGCACATGCAGAAGCACGCACAGGTTGGACACATGCATGTGTGCACACGTCTGCACCCGGTGGTCACACCCTGCGGGCACTGGGAGAGCTGTGCACAGGAGTGGGCCCTGGTACTGATGTGTATCACTTAAAGCTTTGCTGAAGGTTTTGCATGACCACACAAATGCACAGTCAGCAAAATCTGCAACTTTTTTCATGTTTCTCTCTCACCTTTTTCCCTGCTGCAACCCAAAAGCAAACTGGTTTTATAGAGTTTATCAAGTGTCAAAGAATAAAACAGTCTGTAGAAACAATGGAATTTGCAGTAGAGACCACATGGTGAGAAACAAGTGAACAGCAGGAGAGGAGGAAGTGGGATACGAGAAGACATGTAGGTAAATCTTCATGGTTTCCTTTGGCAGCAGGTTGTGCAGCTTTCTTTGGGGATGTGCTGTGTTGTACAGGGCTGCTCGGTTTGTGTCTTGCAGGATTTCTTAGTGGATCATAACAATTTTAAAAAGTCATAGATGTCCCTCTGTTTTCATTGCTCTGAGCTGAGCTGTGTCTAATGGAAACTGTCTTGAGGAAGGGTGTTTGATTTGTGCAGTCATTCCCCATCACTAGTGTTAATGGAGCTACCGGTGAATACTGGGCCTGCAAGAGCTTCTCTCAGCTGACTGGAATTCATGGCATTGTCCTGAAATTTATGAGAGGTATGCGGTGTCTTTGCTGTTTCAGCTGATGACTGAAGAACCTGTTTTCACACAAATAAATGATGTATCCAGAATTGAGTTATTACACTAAAACGTTTCTTAGACTAAAAGAGCTAGATGCCCCAAACCCCCGTTTATTGTCCTGGTCAATCCATGCAGTAGGTGCATACAGTATTAGCATATATTAATTAGTGTCCTGGATTAAATAGATGACTTGAAAGGGAACTAAGTGCCTTGGCTCTGTATTTCTCGGGTACCAACCTCTGAGCTCAGTTTCTCTACACCCTTTTCCCCTGCCCCTCAAGCTCACACATTGTTAGTGTAGAAACCAGCAACTGAAATGTAGCAATTCCCTTCTACAGATTTAACTTCAGTTTAGGGAACACATTCATGGGTGTGAACCCCCGACTTGATCCCAGGGGTTTCCACTTTGTAAGTACTCCACAATGAAGGTGATAATTAGCTTTATTCAAGTTGCATCTGAAATCCATAAAAGAGGGCATTGCCTCTGACTTTATTTGCTACAGACCTGCACACGTCCTGTGAGGTGAACATACCTGCCTGTTTCGTTCTCTAGCACTGACAGTTACCAACAGAGGCTCTGACTACGCTTTTCTGGTAGTTTCCTTGAAGACAGGGATACTTTTTCTGTGCTTATGGACGATTTTTTCTCTTTGGCTGCTTGGGAACTGGGCCTGTACAGTGGAAGAACTGTGCAGTCAATTTTCCGATGTCTCAGCTAGTAAACGGCTGGGATAATAGGAAAACCACAAATGATACAGTGCTACTGGGAAAACTACGGGAGTGTGATGGAGAAACAGTGACCACAGGGAGTCGGACTCGGATCCATCTGTGCTTGTTAGCTCCAACACAGTGTCAGTGCTTGAGGACTGGAGTGGAGCTGTTCCACTGTGTCTGCACTATGCTTCCCAGCACTTTGTCAGCCACCGGTGCATTTCTTCTTTTTTTCAAAGGATGAGAAAAAATTGCTTTGCCCTAATTTCTTTCTTAGGCTTTCATAAAAGAAAAGCTTTTTATGTTCTGTTTCCTTGTCAGTTGGGTAAGAAACACTGTTTGCAGGCTTGGAGACTTAAAGCACTACAGGCTAAATTCTCTGGAGATCAGAACTGAGCTTTAATTTTTTTTCTTCCATCATCCCTCCTTTTTTACAGGAGCTGTCTGCAGCGCTCAAGTCTGCTCTGTCAGGTCATCTGGAGGCAGTGATCTTGGGCTTGCTGAAGACACCAGCTCAGTATGATGCCTCTGAATTGAAAGCTTCCATGAAGGTAAATGAGCTTTGAAATTTAAGTACGAGTTAATCTGCTGTCTCAAGAATGAATAGGGACTTGGTAGCCATGACCACAGTTTTCAAACACGGCCATTGTTTGGTTTTTTTAAGTACTAGAGCTTCAGTATCCAACTACAAGGCATCCAAAATGAGACAAATTATGAAGCTATGTGATTTTTAAACTGACTGCTCTTAAAACCAGTATATACAGGTTCAGAGCACAAAAAGGCCATTAAGAGAGCAGCTGTTAGCTGGAGCCATTAAATTCTCTGCTAGCGTTTTTAGGCTTAAACAGTAGTTTCCAGTTACTGGGTCATATCACTGATCTTGAAAGAACATCCTGTACCAGACCTGCCTCTGTGTAGAACATGAGGTGGAGGATGGGGCATCAAAAGCAGTCTTTAGAGAAACAGCGCCGCAGTGAGTCGCTGTGTTCAGTCGCCTACAACCACAGGCAAGTGTGAAATAGAGTGTGAGCTTAAAAACATCCATTCTGCAGGCCACTGAAACACAACTTCAAGACATGCTCATGCCAGGCCATTTGCCTTTCTTGGCAGACTAAAGTTTGGGAATTTGGATTTACAATGATCACTTAAATTCTGAATGTTCTTGATCAGTTTTCCTTTGGGGTTTTTTTTGGTTAAGCTTTTGGGGTTTTGTTTTGTATTTTAATAATTAAAAAACAACTATTAAAATATGCCTGAAATCCAGGCCACTACAGAAAACCAATGAATTGATTTCTCCAGCCTATGAAAAAGGAGTTAAAAAAACAATCAATCAAACCACCCCCCAGAAGAAAGCAAAACAAAATAACAACCTCCCAAAAAACTTAAATCCCCAAATCCAAAAAACTAGCCCAGTATGGAGCTGGTAAGTCTTCAATTCTGGGCCAAATACCTTCCTTGAGTAATCAGATGCTGCCCTCTTGTGGTTTCAGTAGAGGATATCTGTCATTTACTGTCAGTTTGGGGTTTTTTTGGTTTTTTAATGTCTTACATCTGACATGTTCTATTTGGGATGACCATATGTACTTGATACATAGAGCATCATAAGCTATGACATGGGAGTCAAAGTTGGGTAAAGGAGAGTTGACACTGGGGAGTTCTGGTACACATTCTTACAAAATACTTGAAGTATTTGGAAAATCTTTACATTTTGTCAGCCTTCACTTCTTCCCCAGGTACCTGCTGGAGCCCGCAGTGCAAAACTTTCCTGATTCTCTTAGCTGTGAGCCATTTTTATGAAGCTGCTTGGGTTTAGTTATGTCATGTGTCCTGTTGCCCCCGTTAGAGACACTTATTCCAAAAGGATAGTTTTTCACATAATTGCCTCCATTTTCCGCATGGGAAGGACTGCAGCATGGGAAGTTTTCCCAAGATGTTATTCAGCAGAGTCCTTTTGGAGTTCCGAGGAAACCATGTCCATTTTCATACATTCATTTTGTAACACCTGTATTGCTTTTTAAACAGTAGTAATGCAGCTTAGTTCAAAGTACTGATTCTTCATTGACCTTGATCACAAAAGTGGCTTTGAAATACTTCTCAAATCATTGCACTTGTTCAAGAAAACATAAAATCTGAATATTTAGTTTATCATACTGAATGCATTTTTATTTCTTAATATAGCTAGTAGTATTACTGTTTCATCTGTCTTTGTGCCTTGTGAAGTACGTGGAAAATACGGACAATTCAAGAGGGGATATTTTATTAGCTAGAAATTCAGAACCTGCTAAAACCTTTGCTGACTTGGAGACAAAGCTATGGCTAATGATGGTGTCATCCTTGGCTTTCCTTTTATAATGGAGCAGTTGTATGAACCGAGGTGAAAAAGAAAAGCAGGGAAGAACAAGTTGATTGCTGTCCATTTGCATGCTAGGAATAGGATTTGTTTTCTGCCCACTGAGAGCACAGGAAGAAATCACACGTGGGCTGTGCTGTGTGCTAAGTAGATCTCATCCAGTTACGCTGGTGGGGAGCCTGCTGAGTGTTATGGACACAACAAATGCACCTTGCCCAGAGAAAATACCTACAGGATTTCAAAGCTATTGGAATAGTATTTGGCAACTAAAAATGTTCCATCTGGGGTTTTCGGGTGCAGTTAGCAAAAAATATCCCTGAATGGTTGTGAAACTGTTAGAATGGGAGAAAAGAGATGTCTGTAAAATACTTCTAACCGTTCAAATATGCCTGTTCCTTTCTAGCACTTAACCAAATCATGTGTGTGTTGCAGGGCCTGGGAACTGATGAAGACACACTCATTGAAATCATCTGCTCAAGAACAAATCAGGAGCTTAGTGAAATTATCAGAGTCTACAGGGAAAGTAAGTACTTTGAAAGGTTCAATGGACTATGTTCTTTCACTAAGTTACTTGTGTAAAGGTCCCCTCAGCATGAATTCGGTTATTAGAATCACACAACATCTCCTTTGATTCTCTGGCGGTTGGATGTAAGATACAATTTTGTACTGATGTCCTGGATATTTGTGTGTTTTATTTAGTTTCATCTTGTTGCTTGATAGCAAATATTTACTACTCCTAAGTTGTGTCTAAAGGAATTTTTTGTAAGCTACATGCATTTTGTGCATAGTGACAGAATTAATAGGTCTAGAATTATGTGATAAGAAGGTGAATTTGAAATCTGTTGAAGTGTGCTTGTAAGTTTATTTGGTAGATCTGCCAGAAAAGATGTGAAATAAAACTTCTTTAAAGTATATATTCTGGTTTTGAACTTTTCTAAAGCATGTTATCTGGTTGAAGCTATACTTCTTAGTTGGTTACAAGTAGATACATGAATTTTCATTTAATATTATTTATGTTTTTGCATTGGTTGTTCTGGTTGGGTTTACCACCACTCAGTAGTGCAGATGTCTACTGCCTGTTTGTTTCCCTGGGCTTCAGAGCTGAGCTTCACCAGATACAGACTGAAATGTAGAAAATTGCTGTTTGTTAATGCTTAGTAATTGTTAAGCAATTGTATCGAGGTGCTGGCTGAGTCAAAAAGGACAAACAAAGCCCATGTAGTCTTAATGGCTGGTATTGAAGAAAATATGTAGCAGCAACGAGAATGTTGCTGTTGAAAAGGAAAATGTGATTTTGTAGTGATACAGAGTAGGACCACTTGGAAAGCAATTGAAATGTTTAGACACCAGACCAGAATCTCACACAGCATTCCTCTGATTTATCATAACAGCTTTTGTCTTTCATATAGAACTTGTAATTGCAGTTGTCCAGTCATAAATCCAGGAGTTAGACATTTGTTTATCAAAAAAGCAAATATTCATTGGTGTCTTAGAATGATCTAACAGGATATTGAGCTTAAAATAATATTCCCTTCCTCTTAATAGTCTCAGGCTTTCCTGTTATCCTTCAGTGACAGACTTCGATGGCATGAGAACTTCCAAGACTAGCTGGTAGCAGTGTTGGTTTTGTGCTATGCAAGCATGCTTTTGCATTGTCTTCCACATGTGACTTAGACTGTAGCTGTTTATGTGCATAAAATACAGTAATTGGCAACCGTTGTTCTTGTAAAGGAGTATTTGTAGGACACCATTTATTTTAATTTTGTTTGTTTCTTTTCTAGTGTACAAGACAGAACTGGAAAAGGACATTATATCAGACACATCTGGTGACTTCCGCAAGCTAATGGTTGCCCTGGCCAAGGTAGGTCTGCTTATATTTTTCTACTTTTCCTAGTGGTAACTGACCGATGGCTGCCAGTAGAACAATTGGATTTGAGTAACTTACAAATTTCCTTGTGTATTCACTGTTTTTTTGGGGGGAAAAAAAAATCAAATGTTGAAGGGCAAAGTATTTTGACTGAAATGAAGCATTCATAGCAGCAGCATAATGGGATGGAGCATACTGTTACTCGTTTACCAAATTCAGATTAAAAAAATCAAAGAGAAAAGAATGTGTATATAGCAAACTGCATACTGCCTATTAAACCTCTTCTAAATATTGCTATCCTTGTTTGAAGGGCAAAAGGTGTGAAGATAACTCTGTCATTGATTATGAACTGATTGACCAGGATGCTAGGGTAAGTGCTGGTAATGACCATTAAATGTCTAAAGTTAATATGTAGCTTTTGGGGACACAGAAAGTAAAAACACTATGGGAGTGAGAAGCATTTATAAAAGTAGTTGGGTGTATTTCAGATTGTCTTGCACAGTTATGTTTGTATGCTATCAAAATATCCACCACTTGCAACCTTGACACCTTCAGTTACCAGTTTTCACAGGCTACTGACTCGCTAGTACCTATACAGACACTCGCTGTATAAGCATACTGAGCATGTTGAGAGAGAGCTTTTAACAAAAGAAACACATACACTGTGAAGACTCTTTGCAACCAAGTAATTGTGTAAGATTGAGAGAGGTATCACTGAACTTAGTGGCTGCAAATGCTTGTTTATTACATCTGTATCTGTCAAGGGCAGTACTGCTGAGGTAAACAGAGTAAAACCTGTAGACAGAGGTAAATGCAAAGTAACTAGTCTTAGTTTCAGATCAAATCCGTAGATCTTATCCTAGTGATCTACCCAACCATGCGTCCTTTCATGTTTCTCCCACTGACACAGTTCTAGTAGCACTTGTTTCCAGTAAGGAAATCGTATACGTTTGCGATGGCTTCTTGTGGAATTCCTGTTTTTCATTATTTGCTTTTCATTCTAACCCCAGGAGCTCTATGATGCTGGTGTGAAAAGAAAGGGAACTGATGTCCCCAAGTGGATCAACATTATGACTGAAAGAAGTGTCCCCCACCTGCAGAAAGGTACTGTTCAAGAGACAGATTATTTTTTCCCCTATAAGAGAAAGTTATATTTTGTCCCAGATAAGATTGAAATGAGTGTGAGGAGCACACCTAAAACACAGATCTCATAAGCCTTAATTCATGTCCAAGCTATTATTTTTTTTCAAAGCATAGTTACTTCTGTGGAAGTGTTAATGTCACAGTTTGAAAGTGTGTAGAGCTCTATTTTACACAGGTGTAACAATACTCAATTATATGTCATGAACACTAAGAACAAAAACGTGACAAATCTAGAAGACATGATTGCAGGAGACCTTGAGAAGTTCTTTAGCTTCTCCCTCTGGCCTAGGGTAGCTTAACTGTATTGTGTTTAAATCTGTCACTGAAGACTCTCAAAAGCAGCTCTGATATTGCTGTAAGAAGCACATGAAAAAGCCATTTGAAGACTTCAGGGCCTAAATCAATGTTGTTTCAAAAATACTAGTACAGGATTAAGATGGTGTTAGACCAGATTATGGAGGCGTTCAAAGAAAACAAAAAGGCTGTAGCATGGCAACTTGACTGTCAGCTGCCAAACTCAGGCTGTACTTCACATAAAGGTCTCAGAAGGACTTGAACAGTTTTTAATCATGTGTCTCTGCAGTGCTGTCTCTGGGTTTGATTTGGGTGGTTACTTACACCAGTTCTTCGTCTGGTTTTGATTTCACCTATTTCCTTTCTTGTGATAGTGTTTGAGAGGTACAAGAGCTACAGCCCATATGATATGTTGGAGAGCATCAAGAAGGAGGTTAAGGGAGACTTGGAGAATGCCTTCCTTAATCTTGGTGAGTTACCCTGAAGTAAAGACTAACTTTAGATAGGATCTTTTCAGTGCTTTTGCAGTGTATCATGATGAGGATAGGGCCCAGCTTCCTCTGTGTTGATGGATGAAAAATAAACTGGACATGCTGACATTATTGGATCCACTAGCGTATTTTAGGATATTATAGGTATTCAGAAGTAGAGTATTTTTGCACTCTGCAAAATGCAAATCTTGTTTCCAGATGGAAATAAAAATGATCTGTTGTTAGTTCCACTTCTATGTGATACAGAGGCTTAATGTTTCCCCAACAAATTAAAAGGTTGGAACTGTAGCTGGGCACATTAAGTATTCAATACAGAGAGAGAATTGTGTGTGTGTGAGAGAGAGGAAACGATGGGCGGTGAAGGATGCTAGAGGCTACTTTTTATTAGCTGATTTGGCACTGAATTCTCTGAAATGAGGAGGCAGGGTGTGAGGCTGGTACTGTGGCATGAATTGTGTGTGTGGAGGAGGGCTAAGCATTCTGAAATGATACTAGCCATGAAGAGAAAGATTTTCTTAGATTGTAAGCATTTGTGGCTCAATCACAAGCTTAGCCAAAAAACTTCTAAGTAACAGCTCACATAAAAACAGTTTCTTTATGTTTCCTTTTGGAGAAGTTTTTGCTGAAAACCTTATTTTGAGTACTTACATCTTTTAAAATGGCTCCAAGATTCTGCTGTTCCATGTATGGCCAGGATATTTAACTATTCTTCTCTCTGTCTTCAGTGCAGTGCATTCAGAACAAGCAGCTGTACTTTGCGGACAGACTGTATGATTCCATGAAGGTAGGGAGGACTGTTCTTTCCTTCTATTTTTTTTTTTTTCCTTCCATTGTTTCATTAAGGCACTTTTATTCATATGATGTGACTGGCATGTGAATAAATTAACAATGAGTTGGTTTTGTTCAGAAGCATTCTTTAACAGTTACAAGCTTAGACCATCTATTCATATGCGTCTGGTATAGGGAAATGTAGGAAGGGGTCTCATAATAATGATCTGTATCAGATCATTTGATTATAATTAGCAAAAGTACACATCTTCTGCAGGTAACCAAGAGCTGGTGGCAGAAAAAGCTGTTTATTGACGTGTCCAAATAAGACACTGTATTTGCCTCAAAACATTTTATCATGAAAAGGGTGCAAAGAGAAGCGCCTGGTGACAGCCATTGGGCAATACCAGGAACATGTTCTGGTGAACCGGAACTCCTGCTTACAGTCTAAGTAACTAGATTTTGTGACTGGAAGTTGGTCAGACACTGCTGATGAGAAAGGTACGCTCATGCTCCAATTCCTGGTTCAGAATGATGACCTTAGAAGATGTAAGTCGTTGCATCTTATTGCTACATCTCAGATGACTGTAGTTTGTTGTCTTACCGCTAGGTACAGTGGCTTTTTATGCATTTCAGCTGTTACATCTCTAAATGAGTATCTGCTTGTAGGGCAAGGGAACCCGTGACAAGGTTCTGATCAGGATTATGGTCTCCCGCTGCGAGGTTGACATGCTGAAAATTAAGAGTGAATTCAAGAGGAAATATGGAAAATCTCTCTATTATTTCATCCAGGTAAGTTTTTCAGCTTTTGTTTTTTATCAGTTGTATGGACCTTTGTGGCAGTCGTCACTGGATTCATCGTACCATTAGAACGCATGGGAGGTGTCTCAGAGGCTGTAATGAGAATATTATGTTGTTACCCATGCATTATTGAAAAATTCACCTTTAACTTTGCAGTCTACAGCTGGTACAACTCCTGGCAGCCACTTGACAGGATATGTAGGCTTTGTGCCTATGTGTTAGGAAGGAAAATTCTGTTCACCTTCACACCAAAAGAAAAGAAAACCCAGAATTGCTCTGTGATTGCTGAATGAAAATAGAGCATCTAAATTGCTGCTCCCTTTCATTTCAATGCCTAAGGAGTAGGCTTTTTAGCTAGAGTGATTTTTGTTCATTTCTGTAATAGGGCAGGAGCTATAAGCGCTAAGTTTTATTAACTTGGGGCATAGGTAAAGAGTTTGTGCATCTGTTTAAAAACTAGTCTTCTACCCACCCTCACAGCAGCATATGGTACATTAATCCTTGTATATTCAACTTCATAAATTGAGTCCAAATCTTAAGCCGGAATCTTTTCCTGGAGATGTCAATTTTAGATTATAAGCAAATTTTCAAAGTAGTCAACTTGATGTGTGATTTTTGCAATCATGATGAGAAGGAACAGAATCAAGTCCTTCGGCTTTCCTATGTTGTGTTTCTTTGTTTTCATACCAAAATTTCTCTCCCTTCTTGGCCTTGCAATTGGATTGCAAGAACGATAAACAATTTTAATTCACCCATAACTGAAACTCAGTCTGGATAGTCTCCTCCACGCTGATACAGCTTCCACGGCAAAACTGGTCTGTCCCCCAGGCTTACAATACAATGCATGTCCTTTCCTATTCTGTGACTGTTTCCTCATCTGTATTTTGTACTTTTTCTTCCCTTGCTTTACAGCAAGACACAAAAGGGGATTACCAGAGGGCACTGCTGAACCTGTGTGGTGGAGAGGACTGAAAACTGTGATGGAAGAAGCCTAATTCCAGAGACATGCCTTTTTTTGGTTTTTTTTTTAATCTTCATTTTACTGTAATCATAAAAACAGTGACTTGCCTAGCTAACCTTGACCTGCCTTTGCATCTGCACCAACCCCTGCGGTAGTACGCTTGCCGAGGCTGTGAGCACTGCCCCCAGCAGCAGCGCTCTGCTTGGCTCTGCTTGGCTCTGCCAAGGGTCCCCGTAGCGTGCAGCCAGAGAAACTAACCTTCCACACGTAAACGAGGTTCCAAGCGCTTGTGAAAGACTCTGCCTCTCCGTGCGATGTTTCTAATAAAACATAAATAAAACTGGAGTTTTACTTTAAGAGTATGGTCTCTTTCACACATTTAATTTGAAAACCGTGTGAATAACTGGCGTGTATTTAGCCTTCACCGTTAATTTTATGTGGTGTTTTTCCTCCTCCCGGTGTTCACTACTTGTGGCTGAAGCCTCAAAGCCCTTCCCCTGTTTAATGATTCCGTTCCTGAGCACAAGCAAAACCCTTTTTCCCCTCACTAAAACCTGAG